CATAAAACGTGATATTTGATGATTTTAAAGAAACGGAAAAATATATTAAAACTGTTAATTTTTCTTCGATAAATTAAAATTTACATTAATAAAATATTTGTGTAATTGCGTACGATATTTCATAAATGCTGTAAAAATTATATGTAATTATATTACGAAAGAATAATATCTAATTAAATCGTGAAATTGTGATGAATTTCATTACTGAAATTGAAGAAAAATCGTTTTTCTTTTTTGTCGTGAATACGTTAAATTAATAGTGTAGGAGAAAATTAATGATTATGATTCACATTTAATATCATGTTCCCTTAGTTTTATATTAAAAATAAAAATTGTAAATAGCAAGGAATATAAAGGAATTTCCCTTACGTTTCTTTCCTTTCTATTGCGCAATCCACGTTCGTGTAACTATTTTCACGACCACCATGCGAGCGATAATAACTGGTCTCGGACCATAATAACGACCAATACCGAGACCCACGTCAAACAAAAATTTTTCAATTTCAAGAATACCCAACTTTTACGTCATTATTATTTCCTGTTGGCCCACTGTGCATCTGTCACATTTCCAGATCATTATCAACCCGATTATTGTCGCGACACTTTGAAAATTCCTCCTTCCTGTCCACATGACGCAGCTGGCCTTAACGCACGAATATCGAAACAATCAATTTCCACGTTATCCAAAAATTTTTCAACAACGCGACCGACTTACGCGAGAGAGTCGGTCGCCTATTTCTTCTTTTTCTCTTCTTTTTCTCCAAAAAGAAAGAAGAAGAAGAAGAAAAAAAAGAATATCGACCAACTTTGATCGTTCACAGCTGAACAACTAATTTCGCGCTTTTGGACTCCATATATGTAATCATCTCAATTACTCCAAGAAAGATGTTGTTGCAACACAGAAACTCGGTGCTTTTCGATCGATTCATCGCGCTTTCGTCGCTGGATTCGTGTCAAAAAAAAAAAAAAAAAAAAAAGGAAAAGAAAGAAGGATCGAACCGCCTCTGATCGATTTCGTTGATGCAATGCTGTAATGAATTAATTTTCGACGATGGAAACGTTGTCGATTAATTCGATCAACGGAGCCTTTATAATTGATACATTTCGCGTCTCTGTCCTGTTTATCCGCGTTAAGTGCGCGCAGGATCTTTCATTATTGGTCGGATTCGTTTTATGAAGATATTTAAGAGAATTGGACATTTGCGGAGTTGTAATGAACGAGAAATTGACGTGGGATGATAAAAAGGAATCGATAGATCGAGGATATTTCGATTCCCTGTGGGTGGAGAAATATTTGGATTTATTATAATTTTTTCTTCTCGATGAGAGAAATCAGTTTATGCTAATTGAATTTTATTTCTTAATTTTTGCTTAAAAAAATTTCTTTTTATCCTTATTTCGTATTTCATGAATGGATATGGAAAATATTCCTGCTTGAAATATTACCGGATAATTACAGGTGTCGCTTTCGTAAATTAATGAAAAGTAATAAGAATGAAATATTTATGGAAAAAATTAATTTTTGAGGGAAATGTTAAAAGGAGAAATTACAATATTTGTATACTCAATATTTATATCGATTTCTTAAATTTTGGTGAAATAATATTGATTTAATTATGTTCATTAAAAAAAATTAAAATATCAAATATTTGTTATAAAATCGAAATAAAATAAATTATTTGAAAATTGGTTTTATTATTAATATGCTTATATCATATAGAAATATATGTCCAATTTTCATGCGAATGACGTAATTATTTTTTTTAAAAATCTTTATCTTCAATTTTCAATTCTCATTAATTTCTATCAAGTGTAATGTATAATTTCTTTTTTTTTTTTTTTTTCACGCGCGCTTTCATTGATATACCATACAATTTACCAAAAATTTTCTCGAGAAGTTTGAAAGTAAATTATATAGTTGTATGTAGTTCAAATGTGTTCGAAGGATTCGAAAAAAAAAATAATAAATGACAAAATTTTTAATTTAAGAATATTGTAGAAAATTACAAAGTGTAAGGTAAAAAAATTTGTGTACTTTCGCACATTAATAAAAATTGGAGAAATTAATGTGTCTTGTTTTTTCAAAAAAGTATAACGTTTTCCCACAGAGCTTCTTATAATTTTTTAATAAAAAAAAATTTATGAAATTAAACGTGAAAGTATATATTTATTACATATTGCTTTATATTTTGTCAAAACAAAATACTTTTTCTTTGTAATAAAATAAAATTTTAAATTAATTTTCTGATTTCCTATTTTTTATTATTTATATTACATTTTTTGTTAAATTATATATTTTTATTGAAAAATATGAGTGCAAGATTGTATGGATATAAATTATTTTAGGGAGCATTTTTCAAGCAAGTATTCTGGTCCTAATGCAGGATAGTACGAAGGGTTGCCTACCCTTTGGGATAAGCAATTGACTAGCATTCTACCTAACCATCTGTTTTTAATTTTTTCAAAATTTTAATTTTTTTATGATCATATCTATATCGATACACTTAGTAATTCTATACTTTAAATTACATATTATTATTTTTAATAATTTTTAAAATTAGTATTATATCTATATTTGATATAATACTTTAATTTTTTCAATGTCTTAATAAATTATATCCAAAAAGAAAAAAAAATGAAGAATATAAATAGAAAATTAATTGCAATAACACTGCACAATTAATCCAAATATTTCTACTTACGTAATAATCTCTTTCTTACATCCAAAATTCTAATAATGTTTAATATCATAAATAATCTGTCTTTAAAATCAATTTTACCCATCCAAAGAAAATTTAAAAATAAAAAAATAAAGGATCGAAAAATTTTCTTTCAAGTATCCCCGTATGTTAATTGATATTCAACGATACTCTACGCTTTAATCCAACATTTGCGCTTTCATCCCTTCGAAAAGGGATGGACATTCAATATTCATTCGGTGATTCGCGGTCTACTGACCGTTAAACAAACGTAAAATTGGGTTAACCCTATCGGTGATCCATTCTCGAATTATGCACCCCTGTCATTATTGTATTACTGTCCTGATACACGAGCATCGAGTATGCCGTGATCTTTTGTTATTTTTGAGGGATCGACTACCCCCAACTGGTCACGGGAAATCATGTGAATTCACGCACCCCATCCAACGTGACGGACATGTGCTTGTCACATATGGGCAACACGTGTGCCTATTTTCAATAAACCTTTGTCTAATTGTCGTGAAAAATGTATTTTGCATTTTTATTTTACAGTAAATTTTTATTTATCTATCTATTTATTTATTTATTTTAATTCTTCAAGCCTCGAATCCTTAAATCGTTATGTGAAAATTAATTATTTCTATATTGATATCCTCGTTATCCCGGATATTATTTGAATTAAAAAAAAAAAAAAAAACAAAAAAACATCGACACCTCGTTAATTATTCGCTAATTTAATCAAAGAAAAAAACCCTCTGCAAGAAACAATTACGCGACAAAAATTTTGTCAATATTCAAACATATTAAATATTCAACGCGATAAGTCTTGAAAATATAAAAACTTGATCAATATCTTCATCGTTATATAAGAAACCTGTTCTACTTCATAAGAGGAATCACAGGTGTGTACATTGATTAACCGTGTAAAAAAGAATAATTGAATGAAAGTGTACGGGAAGATAGATAGCTTTCTTAATTATCTGGAAAAAGAAAAGAAAATATATAAGAATCTGAGATTATACAAATTTTCTTCGAATTACAAAGATTTTTAGAAAACCAACGATTTCGTGAGAAATTTTTCTTACCCCTCCTTCCTCGGTTTTCAATACTAATTTCGGATGAAAAACCTTTGTCGAAAATCTCTATACAACCTCATAATATCTTCGGTCAAATCTTTGCCTGCCAAGAATTCAAAATTCCTCAAAGATTTCTCGAATCTTTTCTCTCCAGAACGAAGGGCTGAAAAGACCCCCGAGGCTTTCTTTAAACCAGTTTCAGGTATGAATGGACCCCTTTTCAAACTGTGAACCTTTGTTCGAAAATACTTTACGAAGGGCTAACCATTTTCAAAGATCGCAGGTGAATTCGAATTTTCTCTAAAGGTTTTTTTCATCCAGTATCTTTTTGAAAGAATATTCGAACTAGTTTTTAAGGATATTTTTTTTTTCCATTTTTGTAAATAGAACGGTAAGAACTTATTGATAATTAGCAACTTAATAACTAATTTGAGAGGGTTAATGAATGCAATTATACGTTTACAATTAGATTTATTATTATATTCTTAATAAATTGGAAGACAGTAGTAGGAAGTTTCGTCAATACGACGGTGTTAAAGCCAATATCACAAAGTATACATTACAACAATTAACCTAGAATAGGTACAAATATCACAATTGCGATCAATTTTTTATATTGTCGCGGTATTCGTTTAGAAAAAAAAAAAAA